GTTATTTAGACAATAATGATTCAAAAACATATACTTCACAACATACATGTTTGTGGCTACGAAAATTAAAGTAGTATTGAAATGTATAATATATCAATTGTTTTATTACCTATAGATTACATGATAAAAATGTTGATCCAGTGTTTTCCCTTAGTTAAACAAATAAGATAATTTCCAATTCACCAATAGATTCATTAGCATATTTTCTTTTGAAATAGTGAAATTGCATTATAAAAGTAGATTTGCATCATTGTATGATTTTGTAATAAAAATTCTATTTTTATTTTAGAAATATGGAGTAAAGCTATTTTTTCTTTAGATATAGAGATGTAATTTTATTCACTATATTTTCTTTTAAGGTAGAAAAAATCTATAAAGTGCATATATTTTCACCGATTCGATTGCATTGATTCAACTTTCTAATTTATTGTATTTTATTCTATTTCATATTTCTCACGGTTAGATTCAATTTAAATTTTAGGGTTTAGATTTTTTCTCTACCTTTAAATTCAAAATTGTTAATAATTGTTTATACATTATCATTACTGAAACATAGTCGACAAAAAATAATATTATTGAAACATAAATACTAACCAAAATTTATATGGAAAAATAATTTTATTCCTAAAATAAGTTTAACATAATATATGTAAAAATCCAACTATTGCAATATTTTCTCATTTTTATATTTTTCATGAAATTAAAACATCAACACGGTCCATATCTAGTAAAACATAAATGGTAGTTTAAGAATATACTACTTAAGAAAATATTATAAAATAAAATAGTATTTTGTTGTTGTATTGATCGAAATTATGTGTGAATAGATTCATATAGAGATAATTAATTGGATCTTGTTAATGTGATAGGTGCAAGCATATTAAGTTAACTGTTGTAAATAAATGCCAATTAATTCAAAAAAAAGTAAAAAAGAACAAAATGAATATTTAGTGTTTATATATTTTGTGAATAAATAATTTTACAATTTATAAAATCCATATTCATAGTAGTTTTGAAAATTTAGTTTTTTCCTATATAATCATAGTAGTTTTGGAATTTTTTTTATTTTATAGAAATATAAATTTATTTGATGGACAAAGATTTAAAACATATTCAGATAATTTTAATACTGATGTCACTGTCGTTGATAAGGCCGAGGAGACCATTATCGAGATGAACGTCACTAAGAGAAGACAAAGCGAGGCTCTATACAGCAATCTTAACCTCTCCTAAATCCAGTCCTGATGATTTCGATGATTATTAATTGATACTGTATTTTATTGTTCAATTTTTGATATGTTAAAAGATAAAACGAAAGATGATTATCTATTTATTTCTGTCTCTCTCCTCCCTTACATACCATTTTCTCCCCCCCAATTCTTAAATATCTCACTCTTTTATGATATTCACCTAATTCACCCTTAAAAAATCTCTCTTTAATAAGCTATTAAAGTTTATGAGAAAAAGAGAAAACTAGTTTTTAAAAGATAATGTAACTTTTTCATTTTTCTTTATTTGTTAAAGCCAATAATTTTGTGACAGTTGGTACAACTCGTATCTGAGGAGTTGGCCTGCGAGAACTTTTTCTAAACCTCTGACATACCTTTTTGTTGTTTAAATTTTCTTTAATAGCTGATATCCCCTCTAGATCTTCCCGTTAAAGATGCTCTAATCTTGGACTCCCAGAAATGATTGGAATAGGGAGAATACTTAAACATATTGGTGTTTTGGGGAAACAAATTGTTTATTTATTTTTTACATCAAAAAGCCATTCTAAAGGGTAACAAATTGTAAAACTGGTATGTTATAGTTAATCATAATTTATATACATTATTATAGTACTAACAGTTTCTTGCATACCGTATAGAGATGATATGAATCGCAAGCAAGGTCGCCCGAGCTACGGTCCCGAACTTTTTCTGGATATCTATGAGTGAAATAATCCCAGCTGTTCAAAGCGCGATGTACAGAACCTTCAATCTAGTAAAAATATACATAATGTGTATATTAATATAATTATATAAATTTGTAATATAGGTGTAAATCGATCTTTCTAAGCAATCGAGCAAAGATTTGTATATATATATATATATATATATATATATATATATATATATATATATATATATGTGTGTGTGTATATATATTGTATATCTCTACGACTCAACCTGATATGCAGAAGTGGATACACCGAAAGTAAAATTCAGTGGGAAACTAGTTCGATTAAATGTAAGTATACTGTCGCAACTGAAAGGTTCTTTAGCCTTGCAGGCCGGGTTACATTGACGTTGGCTAGATGTACCCGAAACAGCAAGGAGAATTACAAGGATGGCTAAAGAGTGGTTTGGTTTTGGAATTGCCATATATAATGTGCTTCTTTATTTATTCTGCCTTTAGTGTTAATTAATATTATGATGATGATGATTAATTGATTGTTGGAGGGGTTTATATAGAAGAGTTTGGGTGTAGCACAACAATTCACAATTGCATGGATCAATGTTTAAGTAATCTGGTTACGTGTGTAGTGGCATAAATAATAAACATTTATTTTCTTAAAATGTTTATCTGCAAAGTATATACGATTGAAGGCTCGTACTAAATTGTCGATAATTCCATTAGACTGTTAACCAATTTTGTGTATCACTACCTAGTACATATGAACTGTTCCTAATTATAAGTTGACACACTGAGTTTTATACGTCATCATATTCCTCTTATTATGAGGAATACTTATATAGTCTAAATTCCAATGTGATATCTTTCGATCCATGATCAGTCCCCTTACTAACTTGTTGACCAATTTATGTCTGCTGTGATTAGAGCAGCTAAAAATGTTTAATGATTTTTACATTGTCTAGACGAGGACATTTTCTTAACAAAGACATATATCTTTCTTATTGCGCAAGATATTAGTAAGTTAGAATATATAGTAGATTTCGTGATCGACATGCAAGAAACACAAACTATGAAAGGAAAATGATGAAAACGTGAGAAAATGTTTCGAAGAGAAGAATATGTTTACTTAAACCCCCGAAAATCCATCGTCGATATCTTTCAACTCAACAGTTTTAAATGACTGATGAAAGTTATCATGTATCTGACGAAAGTTATCATGTATCCTTTGTTCTTTCCATGCTAGCAAAATAATGTTGGGAAATTGCCAAAAATAACATTTTCAAGGTACCATTTTTCAACTTTACACTAACCAACTTTACCACTAAAATTTTAATAGTCAAAATACTATTAGAATTTAGGGTTTAGGGTTTTGGGTTTATGATTGATAGTTTAGGGTTTATTGTTGATTTTTAGGGTTTACTTTTTAGAGTTTAGAGTTTAGGGTTTAAGGTTTAGAATTGATATTTTAGGGTTTAGGGTTGATTTTTAGGGTTTAGGGTTTACTTTTTAGGGTCTAGAGTTTAGAATTGATGTTTTAGGGGTTAGGTTTAATATTTTATTTAATATTTATTTTATGTATATATATAAAAAACAAGGATATAAGAGTCTTTTATCCTTTAATAAAATATGTATTTTTGAAAATGTTTCTTTGTTGATGGTAAACATGAAAAGTGGTACCACCAAAGTGGTATAATTGAAATTCTCCCAATAATGTTTATAGCATAGTTTTTTTCGACAAAATTACTTGAAATAGGGTTAATATATTATTTTCTCAATTTTCTCTCTGGCTTTGGTCCGATCTTTAAACCAGTTAGCGGTTAAAATAAAGAAAAAAACTAGATTAACTTACCTTTAGGAAAGCATAACACAAATGACTACTATTTTGCCTACAAAAATTATGTGTTTGTATTGGTGATTCTAGATAAAGTTTGATGATAAAAAAAATGTAAGAAAGTTATGTTCTTAACATATAATTGTGAAAATATGCATAAAAGGAAAATGTAAGTGTAGATACGAAAATTATGTTTAGATGTACAACATTAATTATTTATTTAGTTTTATGTTGAGTCTATTAAAAATATAATATAGTTTGGAAATATATTAATTTTTTTTTTTAATAAAACACTTATAAATATATGATCTCATTACAATCTCATTAGAAACTTAATATGTGATCTCATTACAAAATTTTTACCTAAGATTCAAAACAGAAATAACTTAAAAGGCTCAATATAGCAACTTAAAAGGCTCAATATAGCAACTTAAAATTGCTCTTTTCCACATTGTTCATCAGAAAGAAGGGAGAATTTTACTTATACCACTTTGGTGGTACCACTTTTCATTTTTACCATCAACAAATGAACATTTTTTAAAATACACATTTCATTAAATGATAAAAGACTCTTGTACCCTTCTTCTTTATATATTATATGAAATAAATATTTAAATAAATAAAAAACAAATAAATATGTTAAGTTTAATTAGTTAAGGGTATAATAGTATTTTGCCTATTAAAATTTTAAAGGTAAAGTTGGTTAGTGTAAAGTTGAAAAGTGGTATCTTGAAAGTGTTATTTCTGGCAATTTCCCCAGAAAGAAAGGACAAATTCACAACTCCATCGTTTTTTTTGTCACTCACGCTCTCCTCTCCCCACCTGCAAACATCAAAGCCAAAGAAGTTATGTAGATAAATCCTGGAAGATAAAAGGAAGACACATAAACCCTGACCAAAATCCGAACCTTGTTATAAACCTGAACTGTATTCTTACCAAACTTTAATATAACTAAGTTCAACTCAACTGAATTAACCTGAACTCATGACACACATTATACAATTTTACTTTATATCCATACCATAAGTATTATATAGTTATACATAGCCTAAACTTAACCATGCTTTTCAAGTTTTCTTAAGTTTAATCTTCGAAAACAGAACGAAACCAAAAACAATCAGATTCTAGTTCGCTATTGATTTCTCCAACACCGAACCAAAAAAAAAAAACTAAATTCTGTAAGGGATTCCACTCCTAATCCATTATCATTCACTGTTCAAAAGAGTAAGAAGTCTAAAAGGAACATACCAATTGCTTGCTCAACGACCAACGTTCAGGTTAAGAGCATGATTTGTCCACCGGGTAAGTACACTATGTTTGGAGACCTAGCCAGTGTAACTGCAACCTCCCTTGAAGCCTCAATCCTCCTGAGTTCGATCAGTCCCATTCCTGCTTTAGCAGCTTCATCAAAAATCAACTGAGCAGCTTCACTCTCACCTTCAGCTCTAACAACCACAACTCTCCTCTCCTGATCAGCCTTCATCACCACAAACTTGGACCTCTCCGCTTCCTGCTGAACCACTTGCTTTGCCTCTACTGCCCTCGAGAACTCCAAACCGTATGACAAATGCGTGATGGCAACATCGTCAAGCTCAATGTTGAAGTCCTTGGCATGCTTGATGAGAGAGTCACGGACGAGTGCTGACATTTGAGGACGCTCTGTTAGGAGCTGATCAGCATTGAACTGAGCAACTACAGCTTTAAAGACCTCGTTTCCAATCGAAGGAAGAACCTTCTCGTCATACTCGAGACCCAATGTTTGGAAAATGGTCGGGAGACGTGAAACCTTCACCACTGAATAACCAAAAAGAAAAGGTTAAGTGTTTACGGATTCACACGTGTTTATCTATAATTCAATTTGAGAAGGAAAAGAACATGCACATAATTAGATTTGAGAAGTTTAATATATGATAAACTTAGCTAAATAGTTATGACTTACATACCTGTTTTCTGATTATTATTTTTCATCTGTGTGACTCAGGCGGTTATCTATAATTCAATTTGAGAAGGAAAATAACATGAACATAATTAGATTTGAGAAGTTTAATATGTTACCTTGTGTTTGGTTTGATATAGTCGTGATCTTGCGAAAAATTCTTTTATTTTTGCTTGTTCTGATCTCAAGTGACGTTGCCACCGCTATCTCCTCTATAGGTACAGCCCCAATCCCCCCCCCTCTCTGTGATGCGATTTGGGTCGCTTAAAAGTTTAGAATAAACAGATTCAAAAAACACAGCTACTCTGATATCGTCCCAACTCACTGCTCCTCACATGTCCACTCATGTCTGCCGGTCTCCAACCCTCCTGTGTCGATTGATTCACTCAACGTTCGGTTGAGAAGAGGAATCGTCGAACAAAGAAAAGAAACAAAGAACGGGTTCATCGTGGGAGAGGAGAGACAACTTAGGTTTCTTGTTTGTTGGCTTAATGGGCCACAAAGACCAAATAAAACATATTAAAAAGCCCAAATACCCAATTCCTTGCTAGCAAAATGAAACACGCTGATTGGCTAATTATTTTTGTCTATGTGGACATATTGTATAGATTTTTTGGTTTTGATTTGTTAAGGTCCACAATTCTTTATATATAAAACTAAAAACTGTCATGGTTTTTCTAATACTAAAAGTTGCAATGCTTTATCATCAAAAATTATAATCACCAACAATTGCAAGAGTTTGCCACTAAAAATTCTAATGGCTCATCACTAAAATTTATATTCACAAACAGTTGCAATGTTTTATTCAAGCAGTTGTAACCGTTCCACCAAATAATTCAAATGATTCACTTAAACTGTTGAAAAGATTCATTAAGATTGCTAATAATCTACTTCTATTTATGTATTAAATGATGCATAAAAAAAGCTTTTAACTAGTGCAGTTAATTATTATGGTGAAAGACACATATTTATACATTTTGACAACTTCTTTTAAACTCAAGCAAGTTGTAAGATGAAGAAACACATTTTAGGATGAAAAGACACATTTTAGTAGTGTCTTTTGAATTTTACTTTGCTCATATTTATTTATTAATATTTTACATAGATATTTATAATTGTTTATATCTAAAAGTTAGTGTATTAAACTATTAATGTAAGAATATGGAGTCTCTTAGGTGTTGTATATGAGTTATATTTATTAGTTTTTGAAATAAAATTGCATCTATATTAGTATTTAAAGTGAAAGGTTACATTTATTAAATATTAAATGAAAAGTTGTTTTTATTAGTTTTTGAAATGAAAAGTTGTAACTATTGCTTATGAAAAGACATATTTCTTAAAATTAATATATTGATAAAACAAAGAAAAAGGAATAAAACACACGGAACCTTTGACATTATAATAAAAAGACACAAAAATCATTGATACAAACATCATTTTATAACTTGACAATCTTTCAAAACTAATTTCAGTTTTTCTAATGAAGAGACAAAACCTGTAACTTATTTGGGGTTTTCTATTATTAATAGATATTTTCAATTATGTGTTAATGATTTTAATAATTTAAATTGATTCGGTTTGAAAAATATATTTTAAAAAGCTTTAATTTGATTATGTTAAAAACAAATAAACATTCCTATGTCAAATATAAAAATAAAACCTCGTATTAATTTTACATTTTCACACTCACAACTCTACATGTATGTATAATAAAATTAGATAAAAACAAAAATAAAATAAAATTTTGGCATAAAAACATGAAAAAATAACCAGTGCGGATGTACGGTCGAGATTTAGTTGAAACAAATAGAAAATGAATTTAGGAGTTTTAACCAATATACAATAAGATTCGAGTAGAAAAAATATCGTAACTAATTGACTCAAAAACTTTTGAAAAAATATCAATTCTAATTACGAAAGTGGTCGGATTCCATAAACTATTATTATTATATTTGAGAAAAAGAAAAGGAAAGCGGTAAGAGATTTGTAACTTTGCAAATACCACATCGATTCCAAAGGAATACCATTTCAGAAGCAAATCACACATCGTTATGTAAAATACAGATTACTTCAAATCTTTTGTTCACATATGTGTTTGCAGTTGTCTGTTGATAGCTAACGGGTTTGATTGCGAACTTAAATCAAAGGTGAGCACAGAACACACTCACATGTGACTCAAATTTTTTCCCCGTCGAGTTATAGTCAGCTTTTTTTTTTTTTTTTTTAGTTATAGTCATCTTTATAATTCGGATGTTAAAAGTATAAATTAAAATTGGCCATAACGTTTCAAATTTATTAGCACTACAAGAAATATTGGCTTTGCTAACACACTGTAAAACGCTATTATATCCATTTCGTAGCGTTTCCATGAACGCTATTTTAGACGCAGCTATTGTAGACCCCTCTATAATAGCGTTTTTATATACGCTATGGTAAATAGAGTTATTATAGCGTTTTTATGTCTGTTGCTATAATATTTTTTAGTGGAACTCTTTTATGGGAGAATTTCAATTATACCACTTTGGTGGTACCACTTTTCATGTTTACCATCAAGAAATGAACATTTTCAAAAATACACATTTTATTAAAGGATAAAAGACTCTTATATCCTTGTTCTTTATATATATACATAAAATAAATATTAAATAAAATATTAATCATAAACCCTAAAACATCAATTCTAAACTCTAAACCCTAAACCCTAAAAATCAACCCTAAACCCTAAAATATCAATTCTAAATCTTAAACCCTAAACTCTAAACCCTAAAAAGTAAACCCTAAACCCTAAAAAATCGACACTAAACCCTAAACTATCAATCCTAAACCCAAAATCCTAAATTCTAATAGTATTTTGAGTATTAAAATTTTAATGGTAAAGTTGATTAGTGTAGAATTGAAAAGTGGTATCTTGAAAGTGTTATTTCTGGCAATTTCCCTTTTTTTTATTGCCAGTAAACTTGATATTTTAGCTATTTTGTTTTGCTATAGAATTATATTTTATAATGACGTAAATATAATGTTATTTTAATTAAAATAAATCGATTAAAATAATTAATTAGATGAAATTAATTTAAATGATTTAATTTAAAAGACAATAGCTAAAATTTTGTCAATATTAATTTATAATTAAAAAATAGAAATTTATTTATCAATTATTATCAGTTTTACAAAACTAAACCAGACCAAAACCTAATTTTACAACACTAAACTAATTAACCCAAACCAAGACCTAAACCTAATTTTAGAACCTAGAAGTAAAACAACAAAATCTGACATGGTCAAACTTTAATAACAAAGAGCTAAGACTGTTTAACAAACTTCTTTGTTATCACAGGACATAACTAAAGGCCTGTTGTGATAATCATTCTCAATTGACTCAAGCTCTCCCTCGCAAAGTAACAACTCTTGCTTCCATCAGGCTTGTACCCATCAAACTTGGTTCTGATTAGTTCCTCCTGTAAACCACAAAAACCAACATCATCCACAATGTAACCAAAGAAAGCAAACGATATGTGAAATAGCGACCTTTAGTTCACAAATCTGGTCACCCAAATGGTCATCTTTTTTAATCTCATTAAACACTGAGTTAGATCTTGTCTCCTCTGCTCACGACCACCAGCTCTACCCATGAACAAAAAAAAACAGATTCAAAATAGAGAGAGACAAACAGAGAGGCAAATAGAGAGGTGAGCGTGATGGTGGTGAAGACTGCGACGGAATCATCGAGCCTCTTCCCATCTCTTCTCGGACA